GGCCCTGCCGTCACCTGAGATCTCCCACGGCGACCCGAAGAAGTACACTCCCTGCTTCCTGTGTCGACTCCACTCGCAGTCGCCCTGCAGGAGAAACATCTGCTGTAAAACCCAACAACTCCACTGTGTCCCCAAACTTCACTCTCCCAGAGAAACGCTCCACCGAGGACCACTTTTAGTAATCTTTAGTGATTCTTTAAACTTATTTTGCTTTAATTGTTTTTCATTTACAGTATTAATGCACTCATAATCACTGTTTTTCTCATTGAAACAAAACCAAATAATAGCAGGTAAAATCTGTTGACATTAGAAACAACCAGGAGTACTGACAAGCATCCGATGAGGGTTAAGAGGGTGCAGACACCCGGCTTCCTTCTGAACTGCTGCAACTACCAAAGAAGACTAAAATTGTATAACAACTACACATCTGTTGGTGCTGGTGAATGCCTGGGTAAGAGGTTCTCCCTGTGGTTCCTCCCACAGCCCAAAGACATGCAGTTAGTGGTGATTCTAAATTACCCATAAGTATGAACGTGAGTGTAAATGGTTGTTTGTGTCTCTGTGTTAGTCCTGCAGCCTGTCCAGGGTGAACCTCTCCTCTCACCCTGTGGTGGCGGCTCTTTCAACACTGTGTTAGCAATTAAGTTAAAGAAAGAGTCATTTAGTAAAGACATTAAGCTCTAATCGGAGGCAGATACCTGCTCATTGATTGGTCCGTTGAGACCTGCGCTGACAGTGATGTCATCTGTCAGGTGGTACTCCATCCACAACGCAACACCATGGCAACGACCTTCCCTGAAAAGCACGTTTAACATAGAAAATATGTTACTGACTCAACTCTATGAAGCAGAAGATGAACTTCAAACCTCACAGCAGTATTTTAACAGCATCAAAACACAACAATAAAAGGAGCTCTACGGGGTGAGAGAAAACCCCGAAAATCAGACGTCCCCCATGAGCAAGTATTTGGATGGTGGGAAGGAAAAACTCCCTTTTGACAGGAAGAACCAGGCTCAGGGAGTAGCTGCTTCAACCAATCGGGAGTTAGGAGAAAGAGAAGAGACAAAACAAACTACAGAAAAGAAAAGACAAATAACACAACAGCCACAATGATGGAAAACTGACATATTAGACTGACATGTATGTGTCAAATTAGTTCTGGCACTGATTAAAGTAACTGTACCTAATGAAAGACAGCAAGCCCTGGCTGCTGATTGGCTGCTGAGGGAGGCACTGTGTGAAGTCAAA